AAGCATGGGAACAAAACATGTTACTATTTACTATACCGTTTTAAGAGCATTTCCGTTTAAGAAAATAAAAATTTTGATGCGAGTGCCACTTTAAAAGTTGGGTCTCCAACCCAGATATGCCAAATTTAGTTAAGTCTATCAGACTACTAGCTGACTTGTTTTTGTCTCGGCAAAAGCGTGCAAATTAGAAAAAAAATTGAAGAAGATACAGGAATACCAAAAACATAGAAAATGGCAGCAAAACCTGAACGTAAGTGATTTAGAATGTACCCTCAATGCTTCTGATAAAAACTGCCAGACATATTTTCTGCGAAAGGTAAAAAAATACAATAATTAAAACTGAGCAGCACGACGAAACCAGCTATTGTCAAATTAGTCTGTGTATCACTGTTTTTTATTTCCAGCATATCACCGGAAATAAGTCTAATACCAATCATACTTGAATTATAAATAGATTCATGTAAATTGATTCATGTAAAAAAAATTCATTGAGTGTAAATTTTAAGTGATGGCAAATTGATAAATTTACGCCTATGTTTAAACTTTAAGAAAAGTATTTCTGGCATTATATTGAATTTATGTCCAATACACTCGACTTTGTTCAAATCGTGAATCGTAAGGGGGGTTGTTAGATTCGTTAGATTTGTCAGTGTTATAGTTGCATATTATAATAGCATATAACTTGTCCTGTGGCTTATTGTGGCTATGTCTAAGACTATAAGTGGAACCGTTCCATTTGAGAATGCTTTCAGATTCGTGCAAATAGTTAGATTCATGAGGTTCATACAGTAGTATCATTCCAGGCGTACGTCTTCGTACATTCGTACAATTCGTACAAATTATTCAAACCGTTCAATTTGTGATTGGTCTCAGATTTGTTCGAATGGTCAGGTTCGTGATGTTCATAGTATCAAATGGGTTCGTATTTTGCACTAAGTGAATATTTTGGTAGCTTCGTACGATTCGTACAAATCGTTCGAACCGTTCGATTCATGAATAATTTTAGAATCGTTCGAATGTTTAGATTCGTGAGGTTCATAGTAGTGTTCCATGTGAATGTCTTCGTAGATTCGTACAATTTGTACAAATCGTTCGAATTGTTCGATTCGTGATTGGTCTCAGATTCGTTGGATTCGTGAGGTTCATAACTAAGAATATTTGTGAACGTCTTCCGACAATGTATGTTTTCCTACAATATATATTGTTGCCTATAAAATGAGGAAACGTTTTAGAAATGAGAATAATTGATGTCATATTGGAAAATTGCTTTAAATGTTTAATGTTACGAAATTTGTTGCTTCAATTTTTTTCCAAAACGTCTTTGCACTGCTTTACTTTTGAATGAAGCTGGAAGTTTTCCAAATTACCTTGTTTAATTAGAAAAAAACCCTTAAAATGTAAAGGAGACCAAGTTAATTTGAAGACTGAACTGAAATAACTCAACAATTTGATTAATTTGTTTGGAAAAGTTGGCTACTGAAGAACAACTTCATACGGGCTCTTGATATATAAAGGGATTCTATTGGAAACAATGGTATATATATTTGATGATTTGCGTCCTTGTGCCCTTTTATCATTTATTTCTTTGTTTCTAGTAATGGCCTTCCAATATCCCCAATACCGAGAAAAAGTCGGACAATTATGCCCAATCCCAGGTGCTAGGGGCAATTGGTCTGGATGGCAGAAAGTAATGGTCCAGGAGCAAAATCTTAATGGTGACTACAGGAACCGGAACGCGAATCATGTGGGCTCGTATAGATCGGGAAGAAATTTTCCAGGTCGTCGAGTATGTGGAATATATGAATGGAAGGTAAAACGTGAGGAAGACGAGATAGTGGTTTACGTTGGAAGCTCGTGCAATGACGGAAATTCACCTTTGAAGGACAGAATCCTTCAATATTGCAGAAATGGTTCGCATAAAAGTGATCTCATCAATGATACCTTGAGTAAAGGATACGATCTGTATGTTAGATGGAGAGAGTTTTCAGGCGTCGGTGAATCTATGGAGGCCGAAAATTTTCTTCTTCAGAGGTACAATTATGCCTGGAACTTACGGGATAATGGAATAAGGGCGCCACTAGTGGGTGCACTGCATATGTAGAAGGAGAATTATAATGTTAAAAACATTAGGAATGTATACCACAAATGTATGAGATACGAGACAGTTGCAACACATGTTATACTAACACAGTGGTATATCTGAAACGACGAGGAAATCCTCATGAATTTTAATTTTGTTATCCAAAAAAATAAGAAAGTAAATAAAGATGTTTAAATGTGAACATAATAGTAAGTAATACTAGAGATTTGTACCTCCTGTAGCAAGTCAGTCCAAAGTAATTATTGGTATTTCACCGCTATATCGATCATTTATTTTCTGACTGCGATTGCAGCTGGTTTGGATTATTCTATGCGATCCTGTCCAATTAACAACTACTATGCTGGGACGTCGCTACCGGAGGTAGGGGTATAACACTCCCCCCCCCCCAATAATTCAAAAAGTTGGTCAAAGTTGGTCCAAATGGAAAATATTTGGTCAAACAATGTGAGACAAATGGTCAAATTTGCAGGTCAAACTTGAAAAACGTTTGTCAAAGTTTAAGAACAAAGTTGCTAAAATTTGGTCAAAGTTTGAGATAAAAGTTGGTACAATTTGGTAAAAGTTATGAAATTGTTCCCAATTTTAACAACTATAACATTTAGTTATGTTTGACCGGAAAAAATGTGAAGCTTTGGTAATATTAGATCGGAAAAAATTTTAAGCTTTACTGATGTTAGTCGGCAAAGACTTCAAACCCCCTCCTTTCCCCCGTCGACACCATTTTTGGGAAAATGTTTTCGAAGTTGGTCAAAATTGTATAGGAAAAGTTGGCCAAAACAAGACGACACCCCCACCCCCTTCCCCTAATGTCTTTGCAACGTCTCTGCTACTATGTCAGTTTTAAGAACAATACCAGGTAGATTAAGATTAAGCCTTTGATAAAGAATACAATACATATATGTTATTTATCGGCTGGAAGGTCCGTATTGAATAAATATTTCCCGATCTCAGAAGCGGCCCAAGATTAAAGGTCGAGGGATGCTTCTGAGCCCTAAGGAAAATATTTTTCTAATACGGGTGATTAAAACTATTTAATTTTCTGATCATTTATAATAACATGCTTCAAAAAAGTTCTTTCGACACCCTTCTTTCGGCAACCTTTATAAAAAATTATGACTGAAATGAGTCTAGAAATCATGTTTAAACTACCGTTTAAGGGAGTGTTAATTATTTATACCCGGAGTTGGCACCGAAAAAAAATGTTTCCTTCAGATATCCTAATACACTTACGCCATTAGAAAAAAATATTTTCATCGCTCTCCTCCGAACAACAGAAATTTTCCCTGTGGGGGGAAAGTGGATATATTTTCTGGAAGGACCCAGTACTTTTAAAAAATTTATATCAATTCAAGTATATCAATGAAGATGGGATAGGAAGAAAATGTATTACTAGTTTATTTGTCACAGTTTTCAGAGTATTTCTTCATGAGCTGTAAGAGTATACTTCATCAGGTACAATATCAATTATGCCATGATTTGGAGGTGAACCGCTATTAACATCCAATGGAAAATTGATGTCCAAACTCATAAATATTTAAAATACAAACATCGGTATTAAACGCTACAATGTTGAAAGATAACTTACAGTAACTGTTTTGGTGAAAAACGTTTTTTTTTCTTAGGCTGTTTCGTATAAATCCTGGCATGTATCAAATTCAACGCTGTATCAAGAATAATTATCTTGGTTGTTTAAATTAAAATTTTATCCATGCAAGTACGCCATTTTGAAGTTGCAGTTGGCAGATTGCTCCGACAAATTCAGCAAATTCTATGCTTCAGCAAATTCTATGACTGACCTAGAGACTGCAGTAAATTCTGATTTAGAGAACCTTAGAAAATGGTTAATAGCCAATAAACTTAGCCTCAATGTAGCTAAGACAGAGTTTATGTTGATTGGCTCTAAACCTATGATCAAAATTATTTCTGATTCTTGTCCAAATGTTTACATTGAAAATATACAAATTAAACAAGTTCATGAATGCGAAACTCTAGGAGTAACAATTGACCAGCATTTATCTTGGAAAAGTAATACCGAAAATATTTGCAAAAAAGTTACAGCAGGAATCTCTGCTATTCGTCGGATCAAACCATTTGTTGATCAAGATACACTTATTTTGATATATAACACTATTGTTCGTCCGTACGTTGACTACTGCTGTGAAGTATGGGATGTATTTGGTGAAACTCAATCAAAACGACTGCAAAAACTGCAAAATAGAGCGGCAAGAATTATTCTGAATATAAGCAATGACGTAGATTATACGATTGCTTTACGTACTTTGGGCTGGGAGCCACTCCAAACTGAAAGGAAGAAAACTAAAGCAAGAATTATGTATAAGTTATTAAACAAAATGGGCCCAAAATCACTCACAAATCTCCCTTGTAGAATCCGACATATTTATAACCTATTTTATACCTACTTTTTCTCTATTTAGCCCTATTTTTACGGATTTTTTCAAAAATATGACTATTTTATTACTATTTATCAAATTTCTTAAAATAGTATATGACTATTTACACCTTATTTAAAATATAGGTTATTTATATTTTTCAAAAAAATAGCTTTTAAATAGATATTCAAATCCTATTTGAAAGAGTAATTTACGGAATCTCACTATAAAATAGCTTTTAAATAGCTATTTAATTCCTATTGATGACAAACGAGTCAGTTAAAATAGTTTAAATAGCTATTTTTAAACTTTTTTGCTTATCTTCTTTGGAGCCATTCTTAACATAGTTATTAAATAGCAAAATAAATAGATCTTAAATAGCTATTTAATTCCTATTCATAGAAAGTTTTGCGAACTTTGTTCAAAATAGCTATCAAATAGCTATTTTTAAACTATGTTTGCTTTTATTTTTGGAGATATTATTAAGTATTGTTAAAATAGTTATTAAATAGGAAAATAAATAGATCTTAAATAGCTATTTAATTCCTATTCATAGAAAGTTGTGGCGAACTTTGTTCCAAATAGCTATTAAATAGCTATTTTTAAACTATGTTTTCTTTTATTTTTTTAATTTTTAGAGCCATTCTTAGAATAGTTATTAAATAGCAAAATAAATAGATCTTAAATAGTATTGTTAAAATAGTTATTAAATAGGAAAATAAATAGATCTTAAATAGCTATTTAATTCCTATTCATAGAAAGTTGTGGCGAACTTTGTTCCAAATAGCTATTAAATAGCTATTTTTAAACTATGTTTGCTTTTATTTTTTTAATTTTTAGAGCCATACTTACAATAATTATTAAATAGCAAAATAAATAGATCTTAAATAGCTATTTAATTCCTATTCATAGAAAGTTGTGGCGAATTTTGTTCAAAATGGCTATTAAATAGCTATTTTTAAACTATGTTTACTTTTATTTTTAGAGCTATTGTTAAAATAGCTAATAAAGTGGCGAACTTTGTTCCAAATAGCTATTAAATAGCTATTTTTAAACTATGTTTTATTTTATTTTTTTAATTTTTAGAGCCATTCTTAGAATAGTTATTAAATAGCAAAATAAGTAGATCTTAAATAGCTATTTAATTCCTATTCATAGAAAGTTGTAGCGAATTTTGGTCAAAATGGCTA